GGCGTTTTCCCTCTTCCTTTGTTCCTCCCCCTCCCTTCCTCCCACTCTCCCTCGTTCTCCCCCCCTCTTTTTGCAGGACCCAAACCAATTCCAATGGCGGGCACATGTACGCCCAAGAAGACCGTTCAGGTTTGCCCGCCTGTCTAGGCCCGCCGCCCCCCGCAAAGAGAAATAATCGCCCCAAAGGGGGTGTGATCGAAGACAGAAAGGGCGGGTATCGAGGGTGTGGGGAATTCGGTTTGAATGACACACGAGCAAGTAAGAGCGGCCAGTCTTATAATGATTGTTGCTGTTGTTGAACATTATTAATTCTAAAGAATAATTATTGTTGGGCCCCCTGGTGCGCGCCCCCCCCGCCGCGCCTAGGCCGCAGCCACGTTTTCATCATTTTCGTGAGGAAGCCTCAGGTAATTCGAGTTGATCAAGATCCGGCTGTTTTGTTGTAATCCGTTTTCCCTTGCAAAAAACACTATAAAATGACATTTCTTGTTCTAATATAATCAAATTTCAAGAATCCCTTGCAAAAAATCAGGTAAAGTGGACATTCGCGCGCGCAAGACGAAATCCTTCCAAAAGCTTAGTGTTCGGAGCGATTTTAACATAAAAACATCAAAAAACCAATGGTTTTTCAACAAAAAAATGTCAAAATCTCATCCCGCGCGCTCTTTGCGGATTCGTAGGAAACCCAACACTTTTTAAACATTTCTGTCAAACGGGCTTTTGCGAGCAACTTTTTCGAACTTCTGCGACAACGGTTGCGCACCTGCCAGGGCCATCATCCCTGTCAAATAATACCATGCGGGACACATTCGTCTCTCTGTATTATGTATTGTATGGCACAATTGCACCATGCTGGGCACATGCGCGCCCCGAATAAGTGACCGAGTTCTGTGGGTGTGTACCCCACGCCAGTGTAGTAGCCACGGTCGTCCGCACGCCACGAAGTGAAGTGTCCCAACGTCATAGGGCGGGAAGCTGGGTTTGGGTGGTCGCGAAGAGTCGTTTGGATATTTGGTAGAGCTTGTAATGCCCCCCCACGAAGTGGGGGTATTGCCTGGTGTCGTATGAAAACCCTGGCACTGGGGAGAACACCACGCGTTCGGGTAAAATGATTGTTGTTGTTGTTGTTGTTGTTGCTGTTGCTGTTGCTGTTGCTGTTGCTGTTGTTGTTGTTGTTGTTGTTGTGGTTGCCGTTGTTGTCGGTTTTGCTGTCGTCGTGGTTGTGGTTGCTGTTGTTTTTGTTGCTGTTGTTGCTGTTGTTGCCGTTGTTGCTGTTGTTGTCGTCGTCGTCGTCGTCGTTGTTGTTGTTGTTGTTGTTGTTGTTGTTGTTGTTGTTGTTGTTGTTGTTGTTGTGGTTGTGGTTGTGGTTTAAGATGTTGGTGCTGTTCTTTTTCCAATCATCCTGTGGTGTTGGGTCCTTGTTTTGAAGAGACAGCGCCCTGCTTCTCCTCCTTTCCTCTCATCCTCCTCCTCCCCCTCTTCCCTCTTCCCATTCGCCTCAGGCCGCATGCGTCAACGCCATCCAGGACAGCGTCTCGTGGCCCCACAGGGAGCTCCACCGAAGGCTTCATTGGCACAGGCCGCATGCGCCAACGCCACCTTGGACAGCGTTTCGTGGCCCCATGGTGAGCTCCACCGAAAGCTCCAGTGGCACAGGCCGCCTGCGTCAACGCCACCCAGAACAGCGCTTCGTGGCCCCATAGAGCGTTCCACCGAAGGCTCCAGTGGCACAGGCCACATGCGTCAACGCCACCCAGTACAACGTTTCGTTGCCCCATACGGAGCTCCACTGAAGGCTCCAGTGGCGCAGGCCGCATGCGTCAACGCCACCCAGGACAGCGTTTCGTGGCCCTATAGGGAACTCCACCGAAGGCTTCAGTGGCACAGGCCGCATGCGTCAACGCCACCTAGGACAGCGTTTCGTGGCCCCATAGGGAGCTCCACCAAAGGCCCCAATGGCAGGGTCCGCATGCGTCAACGCCACCCAGGACAGCGTTTCGTGGCCCCATAGGGAGCTCCACCAAAGGCCCCAGTGGCAGGGTCCGCATGCGTCAACGCCACCCAGGGCAGCGTTTCGTGGCCCCATAGGGAGCTCCACCGAAGGCCCCAGTGGCAGGGTCCGCATGCGTCAACGCCACCCAGGACAGCGTTTCGTGACCCCATCCGGAGCTCCACCGGAGGCCCCAGTGGCAGGGTCCGCATGCGTCAACGCCACCAGGACGCGTTTCGTGGCCCCAATCGGAGCTCCACCCGAGTCCCCAGTGCACAGGCTGCATGGCGTCGACGCCACCCAGGACAGCGTTTTGTGGCCCCATAGGGAGCTTCACCGAAGGCTCCAGTGGCAGGGTCTGCGTGCGTCAGCTTCGTGGCCCCACAGGGAGCTTCACCGAAGGCTCCAGTGGCAGGGTCCGCATGCGTCAACGCCACCCAGGACACCACTTCGTGGCCCCATAGGGAGCCTCACCGGAGGCTCCAGTGGCAGGGCCCGCATGCGTCAGCGCCACTCAGGACAGCGCTTCGTGGGCCCATCCAGTGCTCCACCGAAGGTTCCAGTGGCAGGGTCCGCATGCTCACGCATCCAAGGCAGCGCTTCGTGGGCCCCGTAGGGAGCTTCCACCGAGGCCCAGACCACCGAGGCCCAGTGGCAGGTCCGCATGCGTCAACGCCAAGCCCAGGAACATCGTTTTTTTTTTTTTTTTTTCGTGGCCCCATATGGAGCTCCACCGAAGGTTCCAGTGGCAGGGTCCGTATGCGTCAACGCCACCCAGGGCAGCGTTTCGTGGCCCCATAGGGAGCTCCACCAAAGGCCCCAATGGCAGGGTCCGCATGCGTCAACGCCACCCAGGACAGCGTTTCGTGGCCCCATAGGGAGCTCCACCGAAGGTCCCAGTGGCAGGGTCCGCATGCGTCAACGCCACCCAGGGCAGCGCTTCGTGGCCCCATAGGGAGCTCCACCGAAGGCCCCAGTGGCGGTGTCCGCATGCATCCGCGCCACCGATTTCGGCGCACCTCCACCGAAGGCGGTACCCACAATGCGGCACTCGCAGCTGCATATGGTTGGGTCCTTCGTCAGGCTATTTTGTTCATCCGCGGGTCCCAGAGGTCGCGGCCCCTGCTCTGGGGGCAGCTCTATGCCATGGGTCCAGTCTTGATGGCCCCTGGGGCCGCGAGAGTGCCCCCCCCCACCTGGAGGCGGAGACGGAGGGAGAGCCAGCCAGAGTGGAAATGTCGTCGCGCTGGAGGTCCCCCCCTTGGATGCGACTCCTGCGAGGTTGAGTTGACTTCAGCATCGGCTCTGGTGTATCCTTTGGCGACGGCCGTCCAACTGCATCCCGCCTCCTGCTCAATCTGGCGCAATCCTGGGCTCACTCTAGCTTGATTCGGCTCAATGGCCCCTTGATGGGGCTCAGTAGCCCTCAGTCGTTCTCACGAAGACCTTCCGGGAGTTGCCCCCCAAGAGACGGTTATTGTTTATCCCTGGCGATACGGGCGTAACTGGGGGGGGAGGGGAGGGGGGGAGGGGTCGGGCCGCTCACATCATGATCCGCGCTGGCGCCGTCTGGGAATCCCAGATATGGCTGATTCCCAGACGGCGTCAGTGCGAACCGTGACGTGACTGGGGCGGGAGAGGGTGTGGGCGGAGCCGGTCACGGGCGCCATCGCGAATCATGATAAGACGGGCTCAACATAACCGCCAAACTGACAGACAGGCCCAGTTCATTAGAACAGAAGTAGGCTCGGCGTCACCCCAGCGTTGTAATACTATGTGTGCGTCGGCCCGCAACGGGCGACGCGCGCGCCGAGAAATCTTATTGTAGTAGCTCCGTGGCGGGCGCTTTCTGGCCGCCGTACCGCTCTGGAAACGTTTTACTACGAGCTGGTCGTACTATTTGTTCGGGTCGGACGAGCGCCTCCGAGGAGGACACATAGTTTGCGTCGACGAGGGGTTCCCGCAGGTTGCGCGGGCTCCCAGGTCCCCCCAGCTTGCGCTGATGCCGAGCTTTCCGCGGGCCGCGTCGGCAAGAGCCGTGACCCTCTCCACGATTTCGACTATCTCTGGGTGGAGCTCAACGGCCCCTACGACGATCTTTGTTTGTCTTTGTGCGTCCCCCTAAGAACCCCTAATCGCAGCCACTGTCTGGGGAACAGCGAACTCCACTCCACTCCTCCTCCTCCTCCTCCTCTTCCTCCTCCTCCTCCTCCTCTTTCTCCTCCTCGATCCTTCTCCTCAATCCTCCTCCTCCTCCGCCTCCTCCTCCAGCTCCTCCTCCTCCTCCTCCTCCTCCTCGTCCTCGTCCTCGTCCTCCTCCTCCACCTTCCTCTTCCCCCCTCCTCTTCCTCCTCCTCCTCCTCCACCGCCTCCCCTTCCCCTCCTCCTCCTCCTCCTCCTCTTCTTCTTCTTCTTCTTCTTCTTCTTCTTTTTTTTCTTCTTCCTCCTCCTCCTCCTCCTCTCCTCACTTCTCTCTCTCCTCCTTCTCCTCCTCCTCCTCCTCCTCCTCCTTTCTCCTCCTCCTCCTCGTCTGTTCTTCCTCCCTCCTCCGCTCCTCCTCCTCCTCCCTCCTCGTCCTCGGCCTCCTCCTCCTCCTCTCCTCCTTCTCCTCCTCCTCCTCGTCTTCCTCCTCCTCCTCCTCCTCCTCCTCCTCCTCCTCCTCCTCTCCTCCTCCTCCTCCTCCTCCTCCCCCACCTCCTCCTCCTCCCCTCCTTCTCCCCCTCCTCCTCCTCCCTCCCCTCCTCCTCCTCTCCTCCTCCTCCTCTCTGCCTCCTCCCTCCGCCTCCTCTTCCTCCTCTTCCTCCTCCTCCTTCTCCTCCTTCTCCCCCACCTCCCCCACCTCCTCCTCCTGCTCCTCCCCCCCCTCCTCCTCCTCCCCTCCTCCTCCTCCTCCTCACTCCTCCTCCTCCTCCTCCTCCTCTCCTCCTCCTCCTCCTCCTCCTCCTCCTCCTCCTCCTCCTCCTCTTCCTCTTCCTCCTTCTCGTCCGCCTCCGCGCCCACGCGGCGCGAGGCACCGTCGGTTACGCGGGCATCTACGGCCAGGGCAAGGGCGGCGGCCCGAAGGGCGGCGGCGGCCCTGGCGGGGGCTCCGCGGACGCGCTGGCCGCTGCGCGGGAGGGGCTGGGCCCGGGGCCGGCGACCGCAGAGGGTGGAGGAGGAGGAGGAGGAGGAGGAGGAGGAGGAGGAGGAGGAGGAGGAGGAGGAGGAGGAGGAGGAGGGAGGAGGAGGATTTGAGGAGGGGGAGGAGGATGAGGAGGAGGAGGGGGAGGGGGAGTAGGGGGAGGAGCAGGAGCAGGAGGAGGAGGAGGAGGAGGAGGAAGAGGAGGAGGAGGAGGAGGAGGGGGAGGAGGAGGGGGAGGAGGAGGAGTGTGTAGTCAACCGAAGAAGAAAATGGGTGTGGTTGCTCAGTTCAGTCAATCGAGGCAGAGAACAACGCCATAAGCATAAACTTTTGGCGCTCCGCGCGGATTTCTTGTATAGGGGCTGGGCTCCGCCCCCTGGCGGCGCCTCCTGTGCCGCCCCTAGCGCGCTCCGCGCGCCAGGGAGGGGGGGGTCCAGTGCAGATCCGAGAAATCTACGTGTGTGACTTTTCTTCTTGTTCTTCTTCTTCTTCTTCTTCTTATTCTCCCTTTTCTTCTTCTTCTTGTTGTCAACCTGCCTAGCAAGGACGAGCCACTTTCCAAGGTTACCCTTTGCATCCTTCCCGTTCGGCCCATCCTTGGCCGCTTTCGCTGGCCGCGCCCTGCTCGGCACGCGTCGACATGGCCTTGCAAGCCCTTGCATCCTGCAAAAGGGTCGGGGATTGCTAAGGGTGCCCCTGGCCCAAGGTGCCCCCAGCTTCTTGCTCTATTCTGAAGCCCCTGAGGCCCTCTGGGCCTCGTAAGTGGTGCTCTGGAGGCCGTGGGGAGCTCCTTGGAAATCCTGGGGGCACCTTGGGCCAGGGGATTGGCCAAGGGTCGGCGACTGCAAAGGGTGTGGTTTCCCAGTATCGGACTGGTCAGTATTTCGAGGCGGGGTGTTATACACAGCCACCGCCCAGAGGATCGATTCTTGCGGGCCTCCACAGGTGGTGCACATGGATAAACTTTGGCCCCCCAAAGTCAAACTATGTCCATATCCACCGCCCGCTGGGTCCCCAGGGCGTCGGTTCCCAGGCGGTGGATATGGACAAATCCCCACCACGCACTCATCCCCATCCCCATCCTCCTCCTCCTCCTCCTCCTCCTGCTCCTCCTCCCCCTCCTCCTCCCCCTCCCCCTCCTCCTCCTCCTCCTCCTCCTCGTCCCTCCTCCTCCTCCTCCTCCTCCGTCCTCCTCCTCACACCCATCCCGATCCCCGCCATCCCACCACCCCAGGCCACGCCCCTGGTGACAGAGATCTATTCGTGGGCGGCGAGCGAGCGGGGGGGAGGAGCTGGAGGAGGAGGAGGAGGAGGAGGAGGAGGAGGAGGAGGAGGAGGAGGAGAAGGATTGAGGAGAAGGACCGAGGAGGAGGAGGAGGAGGAGGAGGAGGAGGAGGAGGAGGAGGAGGAGGAGGAAGTCCAGGCCTCCGACGATGCGATGCTTGTCGGCCCGCGGCTCCTCCCCTCGACTTCGGCCTCGGGGGGCTGGGAGCGTGCCCTGAGGCCATCAGTCGGCGGCGAGCGAGGGGTGGGTGGGAGTGAAGGGAAGGCCTTCTCCATAAGGCGGCGTGAATTCTCAGAAACCCTCGCGCCTTCTGAGGAGTTCTCTGTGTCCTCGGGGGACGGCTCAGAGAATGCTTCCGAGAAGGCCCGGGGGGACTTCTGAGCTGCGAAGGCCCGCCCTTTCTCACTTCGCCCCCTCGCTGGCCGCCGAACTGAACGATGCTCAGTTACGCCTTGGAGGAAGCTGGGGGTTCCGAGCTCGATGGGCCCCGGGAAGATCGTCCAAGAAGGGGGGATGAGGCTGAGTCCGCTCAAGATCGGCACTCGGACTCCTCCCGAGGTGCAGCCGGTGCAGTTTTTGACGGTCCAGGGGCCCGCACACGGCCCACGGCCCTTGGAGGCTGAAAGAAGAAAAAACACCTCCTTGAATCCGAAGCGTCGGACCTCGCCCGCCCTACCTGCTCGCCAGAACCAGTGCTGGGCCACCTCGGATCCCCAGCCGGCTCCAAGTTACGCCGGGGTGTGCTCTGCCATCTGCGTCGTCGGGGCTTGGGGGGCACCACGTTGCCACCGTCGGGCCTCCTCGGGGCGTGGCGGAGAATTGAGAACTCTGTCGAGGTCGTCGTCCAACACCCAGGGTGCGGGTTGCAAGCCGCACCCTGTTGCAAACCACACCCGTCGGAGTCGACGACAGGCGTGCGAGTACGCCTGCGTGGGAGGTGCAGGGGCAGGAGTGAGGCACCGCTACTTTTATGAGAAGCCGTTTCGGGGACACGGCGCAGTTTGGGGATGGCCGCTTGGGGACCATGTTTCAGCAGTCGCCTGTCGCAGTATAGCAGTAGTAATGAAGAGTGTGCTTGCCGAGAGAAGGATGACGTTCGAATGTTCACGTGTTGGCCAGCCTGTACCTCAAACAGTGTGTTCTAGCACATAATGTTGTGCAATCTACGTGGTGAAAGCTATATAATGTAAACTATGTGGTAGAAGCAACGTTGTGCAACCTATGTGGTGCAAGCTATGTGCTGCAATTGATTTTTACCCGTGATTTGACACACTCCATGCTCTTGCAAGCATCCCACCCACCCACCCGCAACTTGGTATGCAAAACTTCTTAAGACCGATTACGACGACACCGACGACAACGAATACGACGACACCGACGACGTTTCCGACGACGACGACAACGACGACGACGACAGCGACGACAACGGCGACGACATCGACGACGACGATGACGACGACGACGCTGACGCCGACGACGACGACGATGACGACGCCGACGGCGACGACAACGATTTCGACGACGACGACGACGTCGGCGACGCCGACGACGACGATGACGACGACGACGGCGGCGACGACGACGACGCCGACGTCGACGACGACGAAGACGACGACGCCCACGACGACGACGACGACGCCGCCAACGAAGACGACGACGACGAGGGAGGAGGGAGGACGACGACGGCGACAACGACGACAACGACGAGGGAGGAGGGAGGACGGCGACGACGCGAACGACGAAGAAGGAGGAAGGACGGCGACGCCGACGACGACAACGACGAGGGACGACGACAACGACGACGACGACGTCGACGAAATAGGAGGGACGACGACGAGACGCCGACGACGGACGACGACGACGACGAGGGAGGAGGAGGAAGGACGACCACGGCGACAACGAAACGACCACGACGCCAAAGATGACGACGACGAACACGAGGAAAGACAGAGGACGACGTAGGCGACGACGACGACGACGCGGGAGGAGGGAGGATGGCGACGACGACGACGACGACGACGACGACGACGACGCAAGAGCGCGCGCGCACGCTTTTGTTGAAAATCCGTGTTGCGAAACCTTGTGTTTTTTTTTTTGTATGTTTTTAGGAATCTCGATTGCGAAGTCCTTCCGACACCGATGGGTTTTGAAGGATTTCGGCATGCTCGCGCGACGACGGGCGCGTGTGCACTTCGTTACATTTTTTGCAGAGGATTCTCGCGACGGCACACGCCCAAGGGCGTTCGACAGATTTCGACATGCGCGCGCGCGAAGCCCGTTTGGTCGCATTTTGTGAAAATCTTGAACCTCTGCTTTTCTTTAGATTTCGCAAGAGCTCGCGCGTAAGCTTTTTTACCTAACAGATTTTGCTGATAGGTTTCTAGTGGTCTCAAAAGAGAGCAGCAGATGACTCCACAGGGGGGTCGGGGCGGGACCCGGAACGGCTGCCGCCGAAGCCGAAATCGCTTGGGATATCCTCGCAAAATCGCTCTTGGTGCTCCCAGAACTCCATTCCCGGGCCACATTTTGGATGCCCGGAGCCAACTGTAGGCCACTTCGTGCTCTTCGACTTCCCAGAACTCCATTCCCGGGCCACATTTTGGATGCCCGTAGCCAACTGTAGGCCACTTCGTGCTCTTCGAGTTCCCAGAACTCCATTCCCGGGCCACATTTTGGATGCCCGGAGCCAACTGTAGGCCACTTCGTGCTCTTCAAGTTCCCAGAACTCCGTTCCTGGGCATGATTTTGAATGCCCGGAGCCAACTGTAGGCCACTTCGTGTTCTTCTAGTTCCCAGAACTCCATTCCTGGGCCACATTTTGAATGCTGAGGCAGGCTGATGCTGCGGCCGAGGCAGGCTGAGGCTGAGGCAGGCTGAGGCTGAGGCCGAGGCTGAAGGCAGACTGAGGCTGAGGCTGAAGCAGACTGAGGCTGAGGCTGAGGCAGGCTGAGGCTGAGGCTGAGGCAGGCTGATGCTGAGGCAGGCTGAGGCTGAGGCTGAGGCTGATGCAGGCTGAGGCTGAGGCAGGCTGAGGCTGAGGCCGAGGCTGAAGGCAGACTGAGGCTGAGGCTGAGGCTGAGGCTGAGGCTGAGGCAGGCTGAGGCTGAGGCAGGCTGAGGCTGAGGCTGAGGCAGGCTGAGGCTGAGGCTGTGACTGCGACTGCGACTGTCATCGCGAATGCGACTACGACTGCGAGAACAGCAGAATTTGACAACTGGATTTTCATCTGAATCTTAAGGGGAATGCTTTCAGATATGCTTCTACACATCGCTGTTAGGTTGCTTTGCCGGGATAATTAGCGAGTGAGTGTGGCGAAACCCAGTGTTATTGTATGTTGTTTGGAGTCTCGATTGCGAAATCCGTCCGACACCGAAGGTTCTTGAAGGATTTCGGCATGCGCGCGCGACGACGCGCGCGTGCTTTTCGTCCCGTCTGTTGCAAGGCATTCGTGAACAAGTGTTATGTTCAAACAAAAAGATGTCCCCGCGTATCGTCTTTACCTAACAGCGAAGACTGATAGGTTTCTAGTGGGGTCAAACGAGAGCATCATGACTCCTCAGGGGGGTCGGGGCGGGACCCGGGGCGGGACCCGGCGCGGCTGCCGCCGCATTCGTTTTTCGCAAACAGTCACACACTTCGTGCTCTTCGACCTCCCAGAACTCCATTCCCGGGCCACATTCTGAATGCCCGGAGCCAACTGTAGGCCCC